AAATAGAGAAGAAAAGTACTACGGATCTTCTTGTGTTGTATCACTTTGAATGAAGCCAACTAACTATCAAGTCTGAATCTCCAAATTCAACATGTAAAGTTAAGACTTGAAGGTCCCTCCACTCTAAGTTGAGTAGTTCAGAGGTCTGTGACCTTGGGAGACAAGCTTCAAACTTTAAGTGCCTTCAAGGAAGGCTGTGTGGCATTACTCTGAACTCTATTAGACCTCCCAATTTCAGTCTTCTCTTCACTTGTTGAGGCATCTTCATGTCAGAAATTATCTCACCATAATTATCCATGACCACTAGAGTAGCTTATGTTTTCTTAGACACCAACAGAAACTAAAATCTAAGAATCTTATGAGGTAATGATGAATGACAGAAAATCTTGTTTTTGTTAGCATAGAACTATAGAAGTGTCCAGATTAAAGAAGTGCAGAAAAAATAAACAAATTTGTTGTAGAGAGAAAGAAAAATGCTTAAGACTGAGGGAGAAAATATGGAATAGAAGCCAGATTGCCCATGAGGGATGGAAATGAACTTTGAATCAGTAGACAAAAGGAAAAGGAGAAGAAACTATACATGACCATGAACAAACAGCTTGAAAAAAATTGAAGGAAAGCTGCATAGGAGATATAGGTTGAAACCGCTTGTAAATTATTACTGGGCAAAGTAACGGAGAAAAAAATCGACATTTAAATTTTATTTTCTTTTGTTGGCCAGATATGATTAAATCTACAGCAAGGAAATTGTATATGGATGAAATAATTCAAACGGAAGGAGCATAAAGAAGACGAGGAGAAATATATACGTCTTTAAGAATGTAGGGTTACATATGCTAATATCTGACAGGAACCTGAACATTTGATATAAATAGTGCGAANCCCCCCCCCCCCCCCCCCCAACCCAAAAAAAACCCCAAACCTAAAAATAAAAAAACGCACACACACGTAAACAATTATTCTCAATTAATTTGTCCTGCTTCCCAGGCCATATCAATTTTAATTGGGAAGTATAGAATGCCATCAAGTGCCTTAAGTTAATTGCTCATGCTTCCTAAACCATATCAATTTTAATTTGAAAGTATAGAATATAGGATGTTGATTACTGGATTTGAGTCTCCCACCTGAGAGATTTTATGTGAATTTATAATTATTTAGTCCTTCCTGAACCTGTAACTTGATGCGTGAATGTCAGTGGAAGCACTTGAAGTAGTGGCACGACCTAAGATACCGAAGACCTTATCCAGACTCCCATACTTGTGTCTGACACTTACTGTAATCATATCTGATCCCGACACTCCTTGAATATATGCATACATTTATTCAGATGTGTACTCAATGATATAATACATTGTTTAGTTTAAAGCACTCGTCATACACTTCTTGGACGTATATCTTACACGTCATATTCACGTCATATTAAGTTCTTGAAACTTGTTGGACCCGTGTCGAGTTCGTTTCAGCCCATACCCATTTCAAAAGTGTGATTTTAAAGGTTCTTCCAGGTATCTAGTTCATAACAAGTGGTTTTCGATTTTTTAATCCACATAATAATAAAGAAACATAAAAATATTATGGAAAGTTTACTTCTAGTAGCATGTGCATGAGAAAATAAATACTGATCTTGTGTAAATTATTGAATCAATATATAGAGTCATGTCCCTGTACCCTACGTTCTATAAATTTTCTGTGTCCCACACCCGTACCTGTATCATGCAACATACGGCGTGAAAATATCTGTGAATATAGTTTTAGAAAGGGGTTTGGACCCCCCATGGACCTAAGTGGTACTTAGGCCGGTCGACTGCTTAAGTCTTTGTAGCGCCCAAGGAATCATGGGCCATTTACGCCGATTGCATGATATCTAAAAAGGGTATATTGCTCATGTAGGCATAATAACGATTAACGAATGAAGAGAATGAGCCAAGTCAAACCGTATTGGATCAAAACTCTATATCCAGGTTCATCTTAGTTAAACGGCAAGAAGAGAATTTTGAATCTTCAGAAAGAATCATTCCTTGTTTGATTAAAAATGCTTGCATGTAGCTTAAGTGTCCGTCTAGGTGCCTAGGTGCTAGGCGTTTGGTATGGTGCCTGGAAGTGCCTAGTTCTTTCTAAAACATTGACTAGGATCGACAATAGAAACTAGAAGCTTGGTTGGAAAGGCTGATCTAAGGTTTGGTCTCCCTTTGTTTTCATCTTTGCCCTTTCTTCTTTTGGATTTTTGTAGGTTCCATCAGGGATTTATGATAATACTTATATATTTTAGCTCTTATAAAAAAGATTATTATTTTTGTGTAGGATTCACTATTGATCTTTTTATTTGCCAACATGGGTTAATTTGGTTGATTTTGATGGACACATAGACCTATGTGTCCTATTTTTTGGGGGCTGAGCTGGTAAGGAACAAACTCTGATGGTGAAACGTCATCCTTAATGGCCAAACCCTATCTAGATGTTTCAGTTGAAATCTCAAACTTAGCATGATATCTGTTATGAGATTGTCTTTTCTCATTGATTTTCTCGTCTCAACTGACACCATATCATTTTATGAAATGCTCGGTTTTGGTGGTAGTGGTAGTGGTAGTGGTAGTGGTCATGAGAATGCACAAGCCTCTTACAAAGGGGGGAAACTAGATGCTTTTGTCTCAAACAGACATAATTTTTCATGACATATCAGAGAGATGTATTTTCTTTTTCTTTATTATGTTTTGTTTTGATTCTTCAGGATATAATGATATATATCAGAGACAGAGAAGGAACTAAGACTGACATTTAAAAGTTTCGTGGTGGTTTGGCGTGCTTGCCTTTTAAAATTTGTTACGGTGATATTTTCTTTTCCCTATACTTACATAAATTTTACTTCTTCTAATAGTTGCTCTTTGAGACTAAATACTGACTAATTGGAGGTGAATGCAGGTGATGGCAACATTTGAGCTGTACCGGAGATCTACAATTGGCATGTGCTTGACAGAAACTCTGGATGAGATGGTCTCTAATGGCACCCTCAGTCCGGAACTTGCTATTCAAGTCCTTGTACAGTTTGACAAGGTCAGGTTTGATCTGTTCTCTTTCCTTGTTGAGATTGAATTTGGTAAATGCTTTAGTATGCAGTTTCCCCTGTGTAGTCTATGACCGAGGCTTTGGAAAATCAAGTGAAGAGTAAGGTTACTATTAAGGTGATCACTGAACACCCTTGTTCACCTTACTATCTTGTATATTTTGCATTTAACCATGTTCTTTAACATTATTATCTTTCTTTTACGATTTTTTTGAGTCTACTTGAGCTATGTAAGTAATCAAGGTCTTAATATTGATAAATACTTCGACATATTTGCTCTTAGGGAAACATGTAACTTTTTAACGCTAGTACTGATTGCTTACTGCACTTCGTGGGAATTTCTTTCTTTATTTTTGTGCCTCCAAATGTGTAATTTACATTATTTAGATCAAATGCATTTCATGGTGGTTTGTCATGAGAGGAGTAAGCCATGTTAGAACTAGACTTAGCCCCATAATTCATACGCTCTTATTTATTTTTATGTAGAGGTTGTTGATGATTGTTCTTCCCTTTTGTGTGATTGGTTTGAGTTTGAACAATCTGTCACAGTTAGTATGCTTTCATGATTATTACACATGAAATCCATACAGCAACTTGTTATAAGGTTACAGGACTCATAGCTATCCAAGTTTGACATTTCTTTTTATATTGTGTTATGGATGCTGTAGTACAGTCTAATAAAGGGAAGAATGCAATTCCATTATGATAAGAAAAAAGGATCTCGATATTGAAGATGTACCTAATGATAAGTGCGTATTAGACTTGCTCTAGATTGGGACTATTTGCTTGGACTATTTGCTTGAAGAACCCTGATATTTGTGCCAATTATGAGCACAAGTGTCATTGCTCTTTGTATAGCTGTCATTTGTCCTCCAGACAAATAAGTTTTTCTTTTTTCAGAGTCAATGTTCCAAAGAATGAAAACCGGCATCATTGTACTTGCCCGTGATAAATTTTTGTAACCTTCAAGAAAATGTCTCCTACAGAACTAGATATGCAATTTTCGAAGTATTGAAAGACTTGACAATGATATTGACACTAGCACGTTGGATGTAATCTTCAGGTGACCAATCACTAATGAACAAATCTTTTTCATTGATATTATATGTTTTATTTTATAGTTCAATTTTTATTTTCCAGTGCATTTATTGCCTGCTGTCACAATTAAATGTAAGGACACCTATCTCCTTTAGCTACAAGGTAGTACCCTTAATTTGAGTAAGAGTACACTTGTTGCCTCCGCCACATCCTAATGATATCAACAACATTGATTTCCACTGTATTGCCGTTATCGCTCAACTAATTAGCGCCCGTCATGGCTGCATATCAGGCTCTTGATGAAAATCACCCAAATTTTTTAACTGAATATTGTAATGATGATTGGTTGCTGCAGACCACAGCCTATGAAATGGTGTGGTGATGTATCAGTTACTTATTTGGCTATAGATCCTCTTGATTGTAGTTCCTATCTGGTTTTAGTTACCTACGGGTTAGATCCCGTTCTTTAGATTGGTGTCTCACTTAGGGGTGGTAAATGATCGAATCGAATCGAATACTAAGTTGTTCATATTTGTATTTGTTTAAAATTATCGAATTCGAATGCGCACTCTATTATTCATATATCTAGTTTTTCGAATTTGAACTCGAATACTTGGTATTTGATAAATATTCATGAATATTCACGAATACTTATCGAATATCAAAGTATATTTATTTCGCTAAAGAGTTTAATTTTCAAATAGTATTAAAATTTATAAATTAAAATTATTTCTTTATAATATATGATGTATATATATTTAAATCAAAATTTTAATTAGAAAACAGATTTAAGATTATTTAAGTCTTAAAATCTATATATAAAACTTAAGTAGAAATGGTAAGTGGGTTAAAAATATGACATCATATGTGCAATAATACAAATAATAAACTGTGATCAAATTTTAAACGAATATTTAATAGACAAACGAATCGAATATACATCTGGTTAAATTCTATTCGTTAATAAACTCGAATACTAAAAAATATTTGTTTAGTGATAAATGAACTATCGAATCGAATATGACCGAATAGTTATTCAAACAATTATCGAACCATTTATTAATTATTTGGTTCATTTCCACGACTCTCACTGAAATTGCCAATTAAGATCATTATGTTGTTGGTTTCATAAGCTTGCTTGGATGTTCTACCTTGTATGTCCATATGTCTTGTGAAGAAACAAGAAAGAAAAGAAAGCTCTTGATATTTGTTGATATTGAAGGGCGCAATAACCTTTATATACAACTGCTTTAGATATTTGCAGAAAGTCCTATTAAAAGGAGACTATAATAATAGAAAACTAGAATAAAGGACAGTTTTAAAAGATTCAAACAAATCGTTTGCATATGCTGGCAAATATGCGGAATCAGCCTATGTCCACATGGAAATAGGCTGATTAGCTATACTATGAAGACGAACTGCATTTTGGGCAAGGAATTAAGTATGTGTCCGCATGATAGAAGTATGTGGGCAGCATATACCTTGTTGTAGTTAAGTGGGTTTCAAACCCAAAACCACAAACCTATCTTCTTCGATTAATCATGAAAGAAGCCCTCGATTCTGAATCCCTTCCCCTATTTATGAAAAGAAAAAGCCCTAGCTTCTCTGCCGCAACTATCCTCACTGCCATCAATAGTCCTCTCTACTGCCTTTTCTACCTCTCACCATAGTTCGAGCCCTCCATGCTGCCTTCCCACCTCCCGTCGCATTGAAGCTCTATCTTGTTCTATATCATCAAAGCTCTTGTAGCTCCTTCTTCCTCTTCTTCAGCTCTTCGAGCTCTAAATCGAAGCTCCATGTTTTTCTTCAACTCATGTCACCATAACTCTCCTCTTCCACTAACTCTCCTCTATCACCGTTGAGTTCTCCATGTTCCATCCCGTCGAGGAGTTCGTCGTCTCTTTTTTTTAGTTCTTTGAGCTCCGCCACTGCTGTCGAAGCTTCCATAATTGTCACCATCGGTGAAGTTAGAAATCTAATTTTTTGTGTCTAATAATAGATTAGAAATTTAACAAATAATTAGTAATTAAAGTAGTAATCAAGAATCAGCAGATTATAAGTATATATTGTGTTTAATAACTATTTACTAATATTCATTGTAGATTATCTTTATTGTTCGTGGATATATTATGTAGGATATATGTTGTTTTTTGTGTTAATAGTGATGCATATATGTTGTTTAGCAATGATGCATAAATGTTGTTTTTGTGTTTAAGATGTAGGTTTTTTATTTATATATAATCATAGTTGTCTCTAAATCGAGTATGAGTAAGCGATCACAAAATAGTAGCGAGAGCAAATCCCGGAGAAACCTCTTGGTTTTACTGTGTTGGAATGGAAGAACAGGAAGCTCATAAAGAAGGGGCGTCATCTTATTTTATAATGTAACAAATGCTAGAAGGTTATAAAGAGAGGCGTCAACCGCTCAAATAACACATTGTCAGACCTTCAGGTGATGTAAATTGGTGCCCTTGCAAGTGACGTGGATAGATGGACAACCGATAGAATTTGGATGAAATTAAGAGGAAAAATTTCGACAAGATGAGCATGAAGTGAGACAGGAGGTCCACATTTTAGAACCAAGGAAAGAGGAAGCACTCGAGTTAGCCAGTATTTGCTCAAAAAAGCCATATATCTTATGTTCGCTAGACAAGATGGTTGCAGAGAGAAAATTGGAGAAAATTATTTTTAAAGAGAGTTATGACTAACAAAACTTGAGTATGTGGACATATGCAACATGACTCTTCATGTATTTGACATGTAAGAATTTAGTATAGCGTGCGAGGCGATAAGAAGGTAAGAGCAAAGGTACAAGGGAGAAGGGACATAGCTAGTTCTATTTTCGGGTTCCTCCCTTTAAGCAAGGTTATTAGAAGATTGATGATAAATTGCGTAAGCAGGAGTAGTGGGATGCACAAGGTTATATTATTGATACGAGTCGTCGTGCGAGCACCCTTTGGTCGCGGAATTACCAAAAGGTGGGTTGAGAAGAACACAACTAAAACACAAGAACAATTCAGTATGACGAAGGAAAATACCTTCTCTAGATTATGAAGAATCAATTATTACAAATCTCTCCCTCATAATCTCATTAGAATGGAGAACAACCTCTCAATCCTCTCTAAACCCTAATACAAAGATTAGAATTTCTCTCTGATCTAAGATCTCTAAGATTATCTAAGATGATGTTTAAAAATTCTAAATAACCCTTTATATAGGTGTACAAACGTGGATGGTAATCTGGTAAATAACCAAGCCCAAAACCAACAAGAATTCGTGTGAACAGAAACCCAACCAAACCAGGAAACCGTCGATGAGTCGACTCATGACTGCATATGAGTCGACTCATGACTGATGAGTCGACTCATGACTGATGAGTCGACTCATAAACTGATGAGTCGACCGAGCAGAAACTTTTGACAAAACGATTGGATTTCGTGAGTCAACTCATGACAGTCATGAGTCGACTCAACCTGATGAGTCGACTCATGTTCATGTATGAGTCGACTCACGACTCATGACAGTCATGAGTCGACTCAACCTGATGAGTCGACTCATGTTCATGTATGAGTCGACTCACGAGTTAAAAACTGGATTTTTTGAATCTGCTGCTCGTCGTCTCGTTCCACGCTTCCTCCTGCGTTCCACTGTACTGTTTTACACCTCTATTCTCATGCTATCATGAGAATCATCTATCCTCAAGCTTCCATGAGGATCGTTAAGTTCCAAAGAGAAGATACAACCGTATCATGGGTCCCCTCTTTAGGAACTTAAAGTTCCGTTCAAGTTAGAACTTTTGCTGAGGAAACTCTCGAGCTCCTCCATCTTTTCTGTACCACCTGGCCTTATTAGGAATCCGGTCTCGACGTCCGATCGGAAACAACTCATTCGTCCTGCGTCTCGTCGTAGTCACTGTTCGCTCTAAGTTGCAATCCTTTGTCGATGGTTTTTCTGGAAGTCTAATGCACAGCGAGACAAACTTCTTGTTTGCATTCACTAGTCTCTTCGCTCGTGTCACCGTCCCCAAGCTTGTCCCCCTCAGAAGAGTTGCCGAACGAAATATGAACTTTTCACCATCCT